AACATTATAATCTGTTAACTATATAATACTAAATAGTTGTTATGGTATTATTATGGAGCATGTTAACTAATTGTTGGCAAAAGATACATAATACAATTATTATAAAGTGGGTGTTTACATAAATGAGCTAAAATTGGTATTAACAGATTTCCTAATATTATATTATTCTTGCATTTCTAAAATGAAAATTATATGAATAGTCTAAATATATATTCTCCAAATGTAGAAGTAACATCTGGAACAGAGATCCTTAAACAGGAGTCCATTGACCCATAGAAATACATGGGTGGTCTTTGGAGACGATGGACACTTTGAAAATTGATGCGAAATTATAGGGGTCCATCATTGCTGTGTAAAAGCAAGTAAATTTCAAAGGTGCACAACATCCTGAGAGCACTAAATGCGAAGCAAGTACAAGCAGATCAGTTTCAGTAATAAGTCTAAATGGATGAAATACTCCTATTAAAGGAAAGAGACTCCCAGATTGGGTTAAGAAACAAAATCCGACTAGCTGGTACATGTGAAGTCTCTTAAGACAGCAGGATAGAAAGCTTTAAAGTAAACAGATTAGCAAATATGTATGTGTTATTTCCTAGCCCAAAAGAGGTGAGGAGAGTATTACTGTTAATACAAAACACGAATACAGAATAAAAAATGTTTAAAACGAGGCAGTGAAGATTATTTTATGCAAGCTAGATAACACATGTGCCAAATACTAAAAGTGGATAAAACTATAATCATTTGAATAACAGAAAGACATTGGTAGAAACAGTGTTGGTGGTTGTTTTTAATATACCTCTACCTTGGTGGCAAAGTAAATAGAGGTGGTTAAATCAGTCCAAGTAGATGTTAAAGGCAACTCCTGCGAATACATTTGAATACACACTTGACCCTAAAACAACTTGGGGACTAGCAGTATCGACTCTGTGCAGTTGAAAATCTGCATAGAACTTTAGACTCCTCCAAAACTTAACTACTAGTAACCTGTTGACCAGAAACCTTACTGATAACATAAACAGTTAATACATATTTTTTATGTTACATGTGTTATATTCTATACAACAAAGTAAGCTAGACAAAAGAAAATGTTATTGAAACAGTCATAAGGAAGGGAAAACATATTTACTATTCATTAAGTGGAGGTGGTTTTCATAAAGGTTTACATGCTTGTCGTCTACACGTTGAATAGACCGAGGAAGAGGAGGAAAAGGAGGGGTTAGTTTTGCTGTCTGAGGAGTGACAGAGGCAGAAGCAAATCTGTTTATTAATAGACCTGCACAGTTCAAACTTAGATTGTTCAAGGGTCACTGTGTGATTGAAATGGACAATATTTTAGGAAAATATGAGTAACTAATATTGACTTAAATAGTAAAAAACTTGAAATTGAATAGCAATCAAGCTTCTTTAGTGAAGACACCGGTTGGTGATGACTTCATAGATTAGTTCTCCCAAACTTTCAAGAAATTTTCCTATGCTTTATTTTCCAGAGCAAAAAAAAAAAAAAAAAGGAAAGTTTAGAAGCTAGCATGATGCTGAAAACATAATCTGCTAAGATTAATCTGAAACAACCTACAGATCACTGTCACTCATTAAAATAAATATTAAAATCCTAAAGTATTAGCAAATTTAGTTGAGCAGTATTGTTTACGTGTGGGACACCTTGCCCAAGTAAAGATGATTTTTAAGGAAGTAAGTTTATTGTAATAGTAGGACTTTAATTAGTAAAATGTATTATCAGTAGATCAAAGGGACAAAAATGATCATCTCAGTAAATACCTTGAAAAGATTTCATAAAAATCATATCAGTCTAGAAAAAATTCTTAAGGAAACCAGGAATATTTCCTGACCAATCCAAGTATTATCTAACTCAGATCAATAGCCAATATCATAAATAGTAATGAAATGTTAGAGGATGCCTCTCTCAACCATTATTATTTACCATAGTTTTGAAAACTCTAGCTAAGTCAGTAAAATAGGGAAAAGAAAGTCTTAACCATTAAAAGAGTGAGATAAATTTATCAGTGTCTGTGGAGGATATTACTATCTATATAGAAAATCCAAGCAAATCAATCGTAAAAACATGGCTTACACAAAAGAACAGTAAAGTACTATTTACAAGAAAAACGAATAAAATTCAATAGCCTTCCTCTGTGTGTGTATATATGCATCAACAAAAACCACTTAGAAAACATAAAGGGAAAGTAGATCACATTTATAGGCACAATAGCAACAACAAAATAAACTTCCCGTAATGTACTTTCCCAATCCTTATAGAATGTGCAGACTGTTCTAATGACTACATCATATAGTCATAGTATAATTTAACTGGTTTCCTACTGATAGACATTTGTTTTCTATATTTCTGTTTTTACTATAAATAAGCCAAGGACATTTTGAAAACCAGTAAGAATTTTGATTTATATTCCTTGGTTTTAATTTGATTAGTTACAATAATTAATATTGTTAATTATTGGTACCGGTATAATGAATGGATCTTTGAAATAGCAGAGAAGGTCTCAGATATTCTAAGCTATATGGCATTTCACATCTGGAGTATAAACCCAAAGGAAAACATCATACAAAGGAAAATATTTGAAAGGCTTGACTAAAAATTGAAAACATTTTCTCTCTGATGCTGAACTCCATTTTCTCCTCTCCCTTTCTTTCCAAGCAGTCATTTTTCCTATTTGCAGTAGGATTTTCTTAATGCAATCCCTTTCTTTTTTCCTAGGAGTTATTTTCTTCCTTCTCTTCTTCCAAATGTCAGTTCTTCCCTTGTTTATCCATGACCAACTGTTGTTAGGGCATAAGTATAAATCAACCCAGGTTACCATGTGAAATATGAATATTTATGTTTTGCTATCTGTTTCTAAGAATTTGAGGTGGTTTGTTTTTTATATTTGTACCTGTATTAGTTAGGGTTGACTAAACTGCTGTTACAAAGAGACCCAGTAGCACAGTCCCTCAAGCAGCAACAGTAATAAACATTTGTGTAACACATACTCTTTGCCTGGCACTTTACATATATTAACTCCTGTAATGCTCACAAAGATACTATGAGTAGATATCTCCATTTTATAGACAAAGAAACGAAGACAAATAATTGATATAACTTGCTCAAGGTCAGATAGCTAGTAAGCTGGGGAGCTAGGATTTGAATTCAAGTATTTTGTTTCCAGAACCCCTGTGCTATCCTGCTACAACATAGAATTTTTCTCCCCCCACATATCCGTCCAGAAGATAGACAGGTGGTCCTAGGCAGTAGACCTCTACTGGGTTATCAAAGAAAACAGGTTGTTTTTATTGTGTTTTTAACCTTCTCCTATGTGGTTTCCTCATGTGGAAGATGCGAATGGAAAAAATGGAGAAGACAATTTTCTTTTTAAAGCATGTGACCTAGAATTTGTATTTATCACTTTGCCTCCTATACCATTGGCCAAAAATTGGTCATATATATGGCTATGACTGCTGCAAGGGAGGCTGGAGTCTCCATAGCTAAAACTCAGGGGCTCAATTACTAAAAGGAAGGGGAGGTGAACAAATACTAAGGGGGCCAGTTAATCACTGCTGTAAGTCGCATTGGAAGTGGAAGTGAAAAAGAGTTTGGAAAAATAGCTTTTAAAAATATATTCTACTTTGTTTAGAAGCTGTTTTTTACATGAGAATCCTCCAAGTACTCTCCCTCTTCTTCCCTTGTCTCCCCCACATCCATGGTCCCGTGGCCTTTTACATTCTACTCCCTGAGATATTCTTGTTTCATTCCTGTTACTGCTATAATGGTCTGGACAGTGTTGTGTTTTTTTTCTTTTCCTATTTGTTGATCACCCTCCACCCATATACTCTCTCTCACCTCTTAACATTGAATTAAGCCATTCTTGTCTTGAAAATTCTCAGTACCTATCTTCTTAATATTGAAAGTCAAAACCACTTGGCCTACTATGTAACTTCCTTCATTTTTTAATTCTTTATTTTCCTTTCATTACTTTCATAAGCATACTCTTCATCCTAGTTATACTTTTTGTTATTTTCTAAAGATACCATTTCACTTCCTTATTTTAGTAGTAGTATTTCCTCTTCTTAAAAGCCAAAATCACCCACCATTACATTCACATAGAAATCTGTTATACTTTCTACAAGATACTGCTTAAATATCACCTGTTCTGTGAAGTGGTCAGCATCAAGCCCCTTGGCGCCAAGCAGTTTACAGTTAGTTACTGCATTCCTCGTTTTCCCATAGCATTTTGGAGTTTATGGCTTCGTTAGTGTTTATCTTTGGTACTATAATTACATGTTTACTCCTTTCTGCTCTTTAACCTCATGAGCTACCTGAGGGAAGCGACTATATTTACACCAAGCTTTTCCAACATGCGCCCATGGGCCACATACAACCCAGAGTGACTTTGAATGTGGCCCAACAGAGATTCATAAACTTTCTTAAAACAATATGAGATTTTTTGTGTGTCATTTTTTTTTTTTTAAGCATACCACCTATTGTTGGTATTAGTGTATTTTATGTGTAGCCCAGGACAATTCTTCCTCTTCCAGTGTGGCCCAGGGGAACGAGAAGATTAGACAACCCCGATTTACACATCTTTGGAAAAAATTCCCAGCACATAGCACAGTATGTGGCACATGACCATCATTGAAACAAATAGAGAGGGGTTCAATTATAAAGGGATGAAGTGAGTCATTGAAATTTATAATAAATAGAAAACAAGATGTTTCATTCAGGCTGTTGCAACGTAAGACATTATTTTTAAAAACCGAGAACATTAGTACAATTCATCTTTTCTGTGCTTTCCAAATTTTAAAGCACTTTCTCATATTGTCTCATTGGTTTGTGAATAGCTGGGACAGCCTTAGAGACATTTTAAATAAGAAATCTCATTTACTTTTTTTTTGGTGATTGAAATACTTTATATAAGTCACATTCTACCGTTGGCTATGCATGTTGTAGAATGCTTACCTCTGACCTACTTATAGCACATTTTGTATCATAGTGGATGACGTAGTAGATGAAAGTGATGACAACGATGATATTGATGTAGAAGCTGAAAACGAAACTGAGAATGAAGATGACCTAGATCAAAATTTTAAGGTTAGTATACATTTCTGTAATTAGTTAGCTTTATAAATGATATACTACAGTTGTAAAACAAAAATTGGGTAAATAAATATATATGTAATTGTAGGTTTTACTTTGTCCACATCTTTTTACCGTGGATGACTATGCAGTTAAAGGGGTAGATGATATTGGTTTAAATCCACTGGTCTGAAAAGGACCTTAAAGTAACTTGTTTTCACTCTCTCTGACTAGAAAGGTTTTATCGAACCTTTCTGCCTTAGATTTTGAAATCTACAAAATTGAAGGAAAGTGATCTGAAACTCTATTGTGACAACTTATTTCAAAATGCATTATTACCCTTTGTCAGCAATCTTTTGGGGATACAAAAACAGTAGGAAAGTAGTCTATAATGGATTCGTTTTTGTGAGAATTAGTGTTTGCATAATGCTTCTTAGGTTTCAGTTAATTGAACAAGGAAGTGAAAAAAATGTTATTGAGAAAATATAAAATTATTGTCATATTACATAAGATGTTAGGTAAAGGAGGCAGGTAAGTTTTCGGAGTTTCATTGTACCTCTGGAAGCCTAGAAAGTCTATGTTTTGCTTTATTTATTGAGAGAGGACCACTCTAGCATCTGCAGAAAAGTGGTCTCTTTTGCTAGCTGTTTAGCTTATTGCCTTTTTTTTTTTTTTTTTGGTGGGGAAGGAGGGATTAATTTGACTTTTGCCTGTTTGGACCATTTTTGTCTTGCAAAACTGTATCAAAATTGGGGTACACTGAGTATTTGATTCACTTTGGAGATGGAAGTTAAGATATTGGAAGATTTCTGTCTTAATAGATACAGAACCAATTTTGTAACCAGCAAATGTGATCACCAAAGCAAGCTTTGACGAAACTGTCAAGTTAGCCAATCTAAACTACATCTGTGTCCTGGCATCAGGTACTGCACTTAATTATCTGGTCTCTTTAGTCTCCTTTAATCTGGAACGTTTCTGCAGATTTCTTTGTCTTATAACATTGACATCTTTGGAAAATGTAGTTGTGAGCTTGTATTATTCACTGGGCTATCAGTGATTGCTCACGTTTTCCCTACTTTATCTTAACACAGCAGTTACAGTAATAAGAACAAAATACATTTTGTTATTGAACACTTAACTGTGCTAGTCCAAACTCTTTACATATGCATAGTAACCATTAGATCCTCATAGCGACTGTATGAGGTAAGTACAGGTTGTATAAGCACATAGAAAACAGAGGAAGAGAGAGCTTCTCAGTCTAGTTTATAAGAGGTGGAGCCAGGATTCAGAAAGCAGTCTAGTGGAATGTCCACTCTCTTTACCACTATACTGTACTAAAAGATAATTTTTCTTCAAGAACTAAAGAATTGTTGGCTTTTTGAGACTGCTGAGCTTTATTATCTTCTTTTTCTTTCCTACTGCTGCCCTGCCTCTTATTCTCATTGACTTTACATTTAGACGTTACTCAATTTTTCCTCTTTTTATCTGAATCCTATTCCTTCATCCTTCAGGTGAACTGCTACATTGTAGTAGGAATATTATTTATTTGTGTTCTCTTATGGTAGTAACTTCTTTTTACTGTGATTCCATTTTCTTTGCCCCGGATTTTTCAGAGTTTGGAGCCTTTATAGAAACTGGTAGCTTCTAGAAGATTCATCTCCAGATAGCCACAACTTGACCGTATATAAGTTCCAGTGCACTCTTTGTTCCTTCCTTAACTAGCAGAACTTTTAAGGAGTGGTAGCAGGTTGTTTTGTTTTTTTTCTGATGAGTCTGTAAGTAGTTCTTCACTACTGTTTCTTCTTAAACCAAGACACAAAATTCCCTGCTGTTGAGCTTTTGGAGTGTTATAGTTTTCTTTCCTCATTATGCCTGTTTTACAGGTAAAGTCTGTTTTTTTTTTTTTTTTCCCCAAATAAAGAGCCACCTGTGTAAGACCGTATTTTCACAAAACGATATCAAATATTGAACTAGTAAGTTTAGAGAAAAGAATACCTTTGTAAATTATTTTTTATTTTAGAAACATTATGTATTCTATTAGATGTTAAACAGGAAAATTATTACATTATTGGTTCATAAATGTGTAATTTAAAGAGATTAAATTACATATTCATGTAATAATTATACAATGATACAGTGATTAATATGATAATATTTAAATAAAATCAATATTATGCATAGCAATGAGGAAAATCTTTTTCACTGACTATGTAAATAATAGCTAAATTCCTGAATATGAAATAATAAGAAATACATAGTATGTTTTTTCTTTTAAACTAGTAGTTAATATGTGTTAAGTATGGTCAGATACATGTATATAAAGTTTTTTGAGGATTGAAGTATAGTAAAATAAATTTGTAAATTAGGCTGAAAAATAAGTAGCTTACACTGGTAGTAAGTAAATACAAAATTAAAAATAGTACCAATTGAAAATAATAAATGGTATTATTATCTCTCTTTAGTCATAACAAAGATAATAATTAGTTTGTGTGAGGCCAGAGTCATTGAGGATCCTAGAAAATAGCTTAGGTAGTAGATAAGCTGACATTTGCCCTCTCATCGTGGAATTCATTAGCTCTTCTCTGAAGAGCGTATAGAACACAATGATCCTGGGTACATATCTTGTTTCTCTGAGGACATAGTTTTCCTTTACATCCACCTGCTTTCTTCCTAGAGAGACATGGAGATCATTTCTGGCTCTCGTTCCACTCCTAACTTTTCCCCTCGCCGAAAACAGAGTGAATGGTGACACCGAGCTTTTCTAAAGGAACTTTATTTCCCATGCACTCTAAGAGTGTGTGGTCATCATTAATCTGTATTGGGGCAGTGTGTCATGCTGGCTGACAGTGTGGTGCTTCAGAATCACTCTAACTGGTTTTTATCCTGACTCCTTTCTTTGCAAGATGTGTAATTTTCAGCAAATGACTTAACTTCTCCATAGCTCATTTTCCTCTTCAGTTAAATGGGGGTAATTTCATAATGTTCTTATGCAGAATAGATTAAATAATATATGTAAAATGCTTAGCATAGTGCTTCATTTATTTTCAGTGCTTAATAAATGTTAGCTGTTTTATTATCACCGTCATCATATATATGTATGTTTTCCAATTTAATCTTCGTAAGTTTTACTGCCCTTTAATATGAACAAAATGATGGCAGTAAGGGAGAACGAGGAGGATGTACTGGAGTCTTGATCTTTGCACAAGTTTTTCTGTTTTCAGTAGCCCAAATACTCTGTTATATTAGAGTAACCACAATAAAAACAAAACAAAAGTACCCGACAATAACACAACAACCCCAAAGCAATAAGGAAATTTGAATTTAAGATAAAATTAATGCAGCATTTATTCAGTAATTATTCTTTAATTACATGTAATTAATAACTTGGAACATTTCAAATCTAAAATGTATTCTGTAATTTTTAAAAATTTTGTTTTACCTGGTAACATACTCTTTTTATCATTTCAGAATGATGATATTGAAACAGATATTAACAAACTAAAACCCCAGCAAGAACCGGGACGAACAATAGAAGATCTAAAAATGTATGAACACCTTTTCCCTGAGCTTGTTGATGATTTTCAGGTATAAATATAGAAAATTCAGCATCTTAACTGATTTTAATAAAAAGTTATTTTTTCTTGCTTAGGTCGATAATCACTGTTTTTATTCTCTTTCCATTTCTAAAGAGTGAAACTAGCATTGCTTTTCTGAGTGACATTGAATAATTATGTCAACATCCTGAGTTGCAGTTAAGCAATTGTAAAATGAGGGGAGATGGGCCGGGCGCAGTGCCTCATGCCTGTAATCCCAGCACTTTGGGAGTTCAAGGTGGGTGGATCACGAGGTCAGGAAATCGAGACTGTCCTGGCCAACAGGATGAAACCCAGTCTCTACTAAAATACAAAAAAAATTAGCCGGGCGTGGTGGCACGTTCCTGTAGTCCCAGCTACTCGGGAGGCTAAGGCAGGGGAATAGCTTAAACCTGGGAGGTGGTGGTTGCAGTGAGCCGAGATTGTGCCACTGCACTCTAGCCTAGAGAAAGAGCAAGACTCTGTCTCCAAAAAGAAAAAGATAAAAAAGGAAGGTGGACTATTACATTTTTTGTCACTTTAGTTTTTTTTTCATCACTTTAATGGATATAGTTTTTTTATTCAGCCTGGATTATAGGGCAAGTCAAGTTGATCGAATTGTTGGCATTTAACTGGCTTTTGTGATGATTCCTTGGATAAATCTATGAAATCGCCCATGATCTTAAAATGTCAAAAGAGTTTGAACTAGATAATCTTAAAGATTTGTTTAGCCCTTCCTTTGCTCCCCAAATTTCGTACACTTAATTTCTAGTTGCTTAAAGAAAAATACTTTCTTGTGAGGTTATAGTTGTGAGGTTATAGATGAGAAATAAAAAAGAAATACTCGTTGCCCGGTGTGGTGGCTGATGCCTGTAAGCCCAGCACTTTGGGAGGCCAAGATGGGTAGATCATTTGAGGTCAGGAGTTCGAGACCAACGTGACCAATAGGGCGAAACCCCGTTTCTACTAAAAATAAGAAAAGTAGCTGGGCGTGATGACATGCACCTGTAGTTGCAGCCACTCGAATTCTGAGGCAGGAGAATCTCTTGAACCTGGGAGGTGGAGGTTGCAGTGAGTTGAGATTGCACCACTGCATTCCAGCAGCCTGGCAACAGAGCGAGACTTTGTCTAAAAAGAAAAAAAAAAAAAAAAAAAGAAGAAGAAATATTTATCACCTAGAGTTTACATTTCATGGTTCTAATCATTCAGGTTTCACCTTGGGAACTTAGAAGCCTTAGATGCCATAAAAGATGCAACAACTATCCACCTTCTGCAGCCCTGCCTGCCACTCCCTGCTCTGGTATCTTGTTATTCCCCCTAGATTTGAGGTACCTGAGAAGGTACTTTGAAATCAGGGGTAATAGAAGCAAGGCAGGAATGAAGGAGAAGGTATTTGTCAAAAGAAAATAAAAAAAGAAGACAGGAAGAGGCATTTGGGAAAGAGTATAGGTTGATTCTCTTCCATTCAACCTACAGCAGTTATCTGTTAGCTCTCGTGACACATTTCTGCCTAGCTAAGCACCACTTGAAAATACCAGCAGTCACAAATACTACTAAATCAAGGCAGAAGAATACTGTGGAAAAGGTTTGAGGAGGAAATCGATTATTGTGTGAAGAAATCGCCTATTTCTTCTGTATATTCTACTTTTTCTGTACATGTAAGAAATATATAGAGTAGGCCCCCCTTATCGATGGGAGATAGGTTCCAAGACCCCCAGTGGATGCCTGAAACCAAACCCTTTATATACTATGTTTTTTCTGATCTGATAACAGATGGCTACTGAGCAACTAACAGGTTGGTAGCATAGATATTGTGGATACACTGGACAAAGGATGAGTCATGTCCGGGGTGGGATGGAGCATGATGGTGTGAGATTATATCATGCTACTCGGAATGGAGCACTCTTTAAAACTTACAAATTGTTTATTTCTGTACTTTTCCGTTTAATACTTCAGACTGTGATTAACCTCCAGTAACTGAAACCATGAAAATCCAAACCTTAGTTAAGGGGACACTACTCTCATGTGATTACACATTGTAGTTTTGATTTGGGAATAGAAAAAAGTAACCTATTTTTGGGTATTAAGCCCAGAACTCTGATTCTCATTCTCTTACAAGTGAGTTTTCTTTCTTTTAGGTTGTGATGAATTATTCTTGCTTTCTATGTTTAGAGTCCTTGTTTCCTAATTATAGTTTGTCACCCAGAATAGGCTAACCTTGATGATTTCCTACATGGCACTTTATGAACAGCCTGCCAACTTGTCCATTAGTTTGGCTTCTCCAGTGTCAGATTGTAAAGACAGGTCTGAGTGAAAGAGCTTGTCACTAAGTTACTCCTTTTTATTTTCTTTAAGCAAAAGATGATACTTCAGATATTTCAAGTAGTACACATTTATTAATTTATTGTTTATTCTGCTGTAAAGTTTTATATAGAGTAGCTCTATTTCTGTAGCATATGTAATGGGAAATAGCATATTGTCTTTTATTGACATAATCAAAAAATTATTTCTAAGGTAATTGTGTTGCCACTTGATTATCTTTGTCATTTTTAAGTTTCAAAGGAATGCATTATTTGATACTTCAGGCTCTGTTTTTTGAGGTGTGTATTTGAATTTTAGCAGCGATATGTAAGACATGCTTTCAAGGATTAAAAAGATTGGTTAGTTCCAGGTAGGATGTGTTTGAAAGAAATTTCTTCAGCTATCTTTGTATCCATTTCTTGTAGATCATAAGATAATAAACATAAATGAAGTTAATTTCAATTATGACTTTTTCCACTTCCATTTGTATATTATTTTCAGCATCAACCATTAATGCTTAAGATTACTTTATGTGTTTGTTTCAATCTTGAATGCTGCCCACTTTGTTTCCAGATGTGTTAAGGCCCCTATTCAGTGGCCAGATGGAAAATGAATGCTATTGGAAGGCAACGTATGGTATTATTAAAGTAATTATCAACATCCTTACCATGCTTTCAAAGCTATGTTTATTTACTCATAGTGACAATTATAGATTTATTTTCTCTTGTTTCTTGATGGCAGAATATTGAAAGTATCAAAATTCTGCATTTTCACAGTTCTTTTATTCATACGTCTGTAGTAGTATGGTGACGTTTACTATGTGGACTTTTGTTATATTTTGTTTTTCTTTCTTGTTTTCCTCTTGTTAAATTTGGTTTTCAATTTTCGTCAAAGTTATTCATGGAAAAAGTTTAAAGCGTCAAATAGTTTTACATAGGTAATCCTTTCCCACATGCTAAATCCTGAAATTACTTTTTGTATGTTTTTGAGTTAATCCTCATATCTCTAAATAGTATGTTTAAAGTGCTGTGTCTTGACTTTTGCTGCCTTCATTCTTTTTTATTTTCTTTTTTTGCATTATCATCTAAGGTAGACATCCAGTAATCTTCAGCCTTATTCTTTGTGTGTGTGTGTGTGTGCACGCACGCGTGCATACACATGGGTGTGTATGTATGCGTGCATAGATAGGCTATGAATTTCCCTATAATTACTGTTTTTGCTGCATCTTATAAGCAGTAATTTTGATGTTTAATGTTTTTATTATCTTTACTCTGAATCTTACGCGTTTTTTTGATTCATTGGTTTTTTAAAAAAGATAATTTTTAAAATTGGCTTTCTAAAAAAGATAAAAAATTTTAAATCTTTTTGATTGATTTCTAGCATGTAGTTGTACAATAAGAGGACAAATTATTTCTAATCATAACCTTTTAAAAATTTTGAGGCTCGTTTTATGGCCTTGGATATGATCAACTTTTGTTACTATTTCTTATGTGTTTGAAAATTATTCTGCACTTGTTAGTCACAGTTGTCTATTTGCCTATTAGGAGAAGGATTGTTAATTGTGTTGAGAAGTTAAGTTCTCTTTTATCCTTATGGATCTTTATTCTTATTCTGTTAATCACTGTGAAAAGTATTTAAAAAATTTCTCACAATGGAAAAATTTCTCACTGTGATTATGAGTATGTTTCTCTTTGCAGGTCTGTCGGTTTTTTGTTATATATTTGTTGAGGGTTATTATTTATTGTATATACATGTAGATTGAGTTTTCTTCCTTTTTTGAATTGGACATTTTATCATTATGAAGTTACTGTCTTTACCTCTAAGATTCTAAGACAAAAAGCACTTTAAAAAATATTAATGTACTTATATTAACTTTTAACTTTTCCGTATCCTTCGATGTGTATTTTTTGAACAGCGTATAGTTGGATTTTAAAAATACCAAATCTGAGTTTTGTCATTTAACTGAAGCATTTAGATAATTTACATGTAATTACTTCTGTATTTGGATTTATATTTATGAAATCTTATTTTTAATAGTTTTATCTCTTTATGTTTATCTCTTTTTCTTGCCTTCATTTGGATTATCTTTCTCTCACTCCACCTTTACCTATTACTAGTTTGAAAACTGTACATATAGTCTTTTTATTTTTTATTTTAATCAACTTTTTTGAGGTATAATTTACATAAACTGTATCTATGTGAAGTATTAGTTTGATTATTGACAAATAAGCAAAAATTCTAGTTACTCTAGATTTTCCAACATCTTTATCAAAGTCTACAGTAAATCAGGACCTTTCTTTCCTCTTTCCCACAGTGATAAATGGAAACTTCGAGTATTCTAACTACCGTGACTTCCCAAATCAACTTTTATATGTATATATTTATATGCATATACTTTTTTTACCAAACGTAAAAAGCAAAGCAGTAACGTCAGATAGGTTTTTTATGTATCTTAACTCTAGCTTTTAAAAAACCCACTTGGAGCCAGGCGCGGTGGCTCAAGCCTGTAATTCCAGCACTTTGGGAGGCCGAGACGGGCGGATCACAAGGTCAGGAGATCGAGACCATCCTGGCTAACATGGTGAAACCCCGTCTCTACTAAAAAATACAAAAAATTAGCCGGGTGTGGTGGTGGGCCCCTGTAGTCCCAGCTACTTGGGAGGCTGAGGCAGGAGAATGGCATAAACCCGGGAGGCGGAGCTTGCAGTGAGCTGAGATCCGGCCACTGCACTCCAGCCTGAGTGACAGAGCAAGACTCCATCTCAAAAAAAAATAAAAATAAAAATAAAACCACCACCCGCTTGTCGTTACTGCTTTGCTTTTTTTTACTAAATGTAAAACATTTAGTGTAGACTTACCCACATTTTTACGACTTTAAAAATTTTCATTACCTTTTGTGTCTCAGACCTTCTGTTGGGATCCTGTCATTTAGTGGCGTGAACTTGATATGCACTTGTGCACATGCTCTCTTGCCCTCTCTCCCTGAAAGTGTCTTTATTTTGTAAACATTGTTTATTTTGTAAACATTCCTAAAACATTCTTAAAATTAATCTCTTCCTCTGGCTACTTTTTAAAAATCAACTTTATTGAGTTATAATTTACATACAGTAAGTTTCACTTAAGTTCAGTGAGTTTTGACAAATTTATCCACCTATGTGACTACCACCCATTGAGACAGAATTATTTCTTGTCATTCCAGAAAGTCTCCTTGGGGCCCTTGAAATCTCTTTCTCTCCTGTGCAGGTGACTGCTGATCTGCTGTCTGTCACTGTGTCTAGTCTTGACTGTTTTAGAACTTCTTATAAATGGAATCATACAGTGTTTCCTTTTTAGGGTCAGGCTTCTTTTGCTGAGCATGTGTTTTTGAGGTTTATCCATGTTACTGCACGTGACAGTGGTTCTTTCTTTAATTGCTTGGCAGTATTTTATTGTGGAAATATACCACAATTTCTTTGTGGATGAGTGTTGGAATGTCTGAAGTTTTAGACTTCATTGGACTTTAATATGAGTAAAGTTGATAACATTTTGTGCACAAAATTTTTTGGGGTGGCTGGGTGTGGTGGCTCACAACTGTAATCCCAGCACTTTGGGAGGCTGAAGCGGGTGGATCACCTGAGGTTAGGAGTTCAAGACCATTCTCGCCAACATAGTGAAACCCCGTCTCTACTGAAAAACCAAAAATTAGCTGGGCATGGTGGCAGGCACCTGTAATCCCAGCTACTTGGGAGACTGAAGCAGGAGAATTGCTTGAACCCGGGAGCTGGAGGTTGCAGTGAGCTGAGATCGCGCCACTGCACTCCAGCCTGGGCAACAAGAGCGAAACTCTGTCTCAAAAACAAACAAACAAAAATCTTTTTGGGGAGATATGCTTTCATTTCTCTTGGGTAAATACCTATCAGTGAAATTGATAGGTGGTATGTATGGTAAGTATATGTTTTTATTTTATAAGAAACTATTTTTGGTGGCTTTTAACATATACTGTTTTTGCTTTAACGCTACAGTTTCCTAGTAATGTTGACTAAGTGCGGATTTTCTTTTTTAAAATCCTGTTTGGGATTTATTGTATTTGGATTCTGTGAGTTGTTTTCTCATAAGATTTGGAAAAACTGCATTCTCTACTTCAGGTACTGCATTTTGTTTCCACCCTCTGTCTTTTGTAATTCGAATTGAATGTAGACCTTTTTACTCCCTTCCATGTCTTTTAACCTCTTTTTTCTGCTTTTCTTTTCTTTGCCTCTCTATGCTGCCTTCAGGTTATTTCATTAGAACTATCTGCCAGTTTACTAATTCTCTTTTTGGCTTTGTCTCATCTGTCATTAGAAATGTCTACTAGGGGCTGAGCGCGGTGGCTCAGGCCTATAATCCTGGCACTTTGGGAGGCCGAGGCGGGTGGATCAGAAAGTCAGGAAATTGAGATCACGAGGTCAGGAGATCGAGACTATGGCCAATATGATGAAACCCCATCTCTACTAAAAATACAAAAAGTAGCTGGGTGTGGTGGTGCATACCTGTAATCCTAGCTACTCGGGAGGCTAAGGCAGAGAAAATTGCTTGAACCAGGGAGTAGGAGGTTGTGGTGAGCCGAGATTGCGCCACTGCATTCCAGCCTGGAGACAGAGTGAGATTCCCTCTCCAAAAAAAAAAAAAAAAAAAAAAGCTTACAAAATGCATTTAATAAGTCTTTAATTCTTGTTTTCTATATTTTATTTCTTTGAACATACGAAATATGGTCATTTCTTAGTCTGAGATTCTTGTAGGTCTTTTTCAATATCTGATGTTTCTTTTGGTTCTTTTTCCTTCTACCTTGCTGAATTGTATGTTTAGGATTCTTTCCTTCTTTATAATTTTGTATGTGGAAACTCCAGAAGCTGTTGCTTTTGAGAGTCACCATTATAGATTGAATCCTCAAGGGCTTTTGGACCACCAAGTTGATGTGAATTCAGGCTATGAATCCGTGTGATTTGATGGCCGACTTTTAATACCAGTTTGTGAATAGTGATACTTTTCACTGTGTTAGAGCTATGATTTAAAATTTAAGACAGTTGGCTTTTCTTTTTATGTTTTTTTTTCCCCCTTTTGTGGTGGGAGTATTTCTAGGACCTATATATTGAAGATGTCGTTCTGGAGTTTAATGTTTTTGAGAGGAAAATTACCTTATGCCAGTTCAGGGTTTTTCTCCTGTCCTTCATCGTCTTTGAGATGGGAAAATCCGTACCCAAGGTCACCTGGTTTATCACATGTTTTCAAAGTGAAAGCTAGCTTCAGTCTTCAGCTTATCACATAGGGATCCCTTCTTCATTCGAAACTTTGCCTTTATCCTTGCTTTCTTATCCACTTAATGACATACTTAAAATATTTTAATATATGTAACAATTGTAAATGGTTCTGTGGGGTGGATACTTAGCCTACCATGTTTCCTACAAAATGTGTTTTTTAATGCAAACTTACCACCCCTTTAACCCTTTTAATGCAGAACTACCTATTCCTTCCTTAGTGCTTCCACTGTCTTCTTGGCTTAGCTATAGTACAGGGGGTCCTGTGAATCATCTTTGAATCCTTGCTTTGTATACAGTGGACATTCAAGGAATAAATCACAATGAAAGATTCATTTTGACTCCATGATGTATATAAGGAAATTAACCCAAATTAAAAGATCAATTGCAAATCCAGAAAAATAATTTTCAAAAAATGGGTTAGCTGGAGGATTTGTGTATGTATGTGTATACAAATTTTTTAACATGAAAATTTATACCATAAAATAAGAAAACCCTGTATCCAGGAACAAAAAAGTTACCTAAGAATTGCAGCTGATTAACAGATGTATAGAAAAGTGTTTGCTTCCTAGTAGTCAAAGAAATGCAAAGTAAAATAGCAGCAAGATAATATTTCTTATCTACCACGTTAGAAAATGTTTTTTTAAAAACTATAGTATCGAATGTTGGCAAAGAAGACAGCAGTTGAAAGAGATACTCTTATGTATAGTTACCGGGAATATACATTAATACAAGTGCTTTTGGAGAGTTTAGTGTTCTGGTCAGTTTGCATTATTAAAATTGATTATAATATCTGATTCTGCACTTCTATTTCAGTGCTTGGGAAATCATTATAAGTAAAGCAAAAACTCTTTGCAAAAAGATTTTTATTGCAGTATAATAGCCAAATTTTGGAAATGACTTAAATATACACCTTATTTATCTGTTTAAATCATCGAAAAAATAATGATCTGGCCCAAAGTGTTGGCTGCTGCCATTCAGAATGTCCACTGTGTACAAAAATATCTTTCAAAAATATCTCATGTCATGGCATTCTTCCCTGTCATGGCTTCCAATCTCATTCAGAGTAAAAACCCAAATTCTTATAGTCTGTAAGGCTCTCCAGCACTTGGCATTCATCGTGTCCATTCTTTCCCAGCCACCCCATCCTTGCTGTTCTTTGAACACCTCAGGCATTCGTCCACTCTGGAAGCTATGTGCTGTAGTCCTCTCTGCCTGGAATGGCCCCTTGTGTGGTACCCTCACCTTCTTAAAGTCTTTGCTTCTATTTCATCTGCTCGTGAGACTCCCTAACCAATGACATTTAGAGTTGCCACTTACCTCTGCTCTCTTGGTACTCCCAATCCACATTACGTCCTGCCTGTCCTGCCCTCCTTTTTTTTTTTTTTTTTAAGACAGAATCTCACTTTGTCACTCAGGCTAGAGTGCAGTGACATGATCTCGGCTCACTGCAACCTCCACCTCCTGGGTTCAAGCGATTCTCATGCCTCAGCCTCCTGAGTAGCTGGGATTACAGGTGTCCACCACCATGCTCGGCTAATTTTTGTGTTTTTAGTAGAGACGGGATTTTACCATGTTGGCCAGGCTGGTCTTGAACTCCCGATCTCAGGTGATCCGCCTGCCTCAGCCTCCCAAAGTGCTAGGCTTACAGGTGTGAGCCACCGGGCCCGGCCTTGCCCTCCCTCCCCCCTTTTTTTTTTTTTTTTCTGTAGCGCTTTACCCTTCTAACGTTCTATATATAAATATATATATTGTATTTATTACTTGTTGTATTGACAGTCCTCTCTTCTACCCCTATAAAGATGTAAGCTACAAAAGGGAAGAGTTGTTTTTTAAGTGTCTTAAGTGCTTGAAACAAGGCTTGGCACAAAATAGAGACTTCATGAATATTGCACAAAACAGACACTGTAATGTTATTGAATTAATGAATAACAATTTAGTTGTTGTCCCTAATAGGATTTTGGAGTCTTTATGTTTTTCTACTTAGAATTCTAAGATTTCCCACATTTCTGTGACATGTAGGCATTAGTTTTATAGTAGAAAAAGTAAAGTAGGTGTTATGAATTTGTTATGGTTAAAAATTTTGTCTTTTTAGTGAAATGAAAACAAACCCTGTTTTATCTACCTTTAAAATTTTCAAAAATGTCTGAAACAATATACAACATGAATGTATTAGTTTTGTTAATATGTTTTAATATTTATAGTTAAAAGATTAAACATATTTTTTATTTTCAAAGGACTATGATTTAATCTCCAAAGAACCAAAGCCTTTTGTATTTGAGGGAAAAGTACGTGGTCCTATTGTTGTTCCTACGGCAGGAGAGGAAACATCTGGGAATTCTGGCAATTTAAGAAAAGTTGTAATGAAGGAAAACATATCTTCTAAAGAAGATGAAGGTGAAAAGAAGTCTACCTTTATGGATCTAGCAAAAGAAGATACTAAAGATAATGATAGAACATTACAACAGCAGCCAGGTGATCAAAATAGAACTATTTCATCAGTCCATGGTTTAAACAATGATATTGTAAAGGCCTTGGACCGAATTACATTGCAGAATATTCCTTCTCAAACAGCCCCAGGTTTTACTACAGAAGTGAAGAAGGACTGCAGTCTTCCTCTTACTGTCCTTACATGTGCTAAAGCGTGTCCACACATGGCTACTTGTGGAAATGTTCTGTTTGAGGGAAGAACAGTTCAGCTAGGGAAGCTTTGCTGCACTGGAGTTGAAACTGAAGATGATGAAGATACCGAGTCAAATTCATCAGTAGAACAAGCATCGGTTGAAGTACCTGATGGACCAACACTTCATGACCCAGACCTCTATATTGAGATTGTGAAAAATACAAAATCTGTCCCGGAATATTCAGAGGTGGCTTATCCCGATTATTTTGGTCACGTTCCGCCTCCATTCAAAGAGCCTATTTTAGAAAGGCCTTACGGTGTGCAGAGGTGAGTTGCATATTTTCCCCTCTTCTAAATAAGGCTATTGTCAAGATATGAGGCAGTCTTAAAAAAATTACTTCGGGCATTTAGGAAGATAATTACTGTGAGCTATAAGTTATTGTATTTTTAAATTCTGCTTTGGAAATTTTGCATTGTTTTGAAATTGTCCTTGTTGGTTTACTTTATTTCTTGAGCTTATTACTTATTCAGATGAAGCCAGAATGATAAACCTGACCATTGGATAGTTTAGAAATTTTCTGTTAATACTAAATCTCAAAATATAATAACAGATTATTTAATAATCTTTGAATAAATATTACCTTAGCAATATTTGTTAACTTAGTGATTTTTCATTTGAACTTGATTTAAGTATATGATTTAAAAATAGGCTATAAATCACAATAGGGTAACTGCAATCAACAGTAATTTATTGTGCATTTAAAAAATAAAAGAGTATAATTGGAAGAAAGGATAAATGCTTGAAGTGAGGGATACCCCTTTTACCCTGATGTGATTATTATGCATTGTATGCCTGTATCAAAATATCTCATTTACCCCATAAATATATGTATGTGTACCTACTATGTACTAACAAAAATTAAAAATTGAAAAAATAAAAATAGACTATAAATGAAGCAATATAGACAGTATTATTTTGTTGTAAAGTTTGAAATTTTAATTGGAAATATATAAGATAAAAATACGGGATTCATAAAAGCAGTAACTAAGGTTATTAAATATTACCGAGTAAGGTTAGATATTACAAATAATATTAAATATTGCCAACGAGTGAATATTTGTCTATAAAAATACCTTTTTTGTTGCATCGGGACTGGTTTTGGTGATTATGGTGAAGATTTTATGATAATGGCTTATATCAGTATCTGAAAAAAAATAGTATACCCTTGTAACAAGCGTAGTATGTAATGAACAAGGAAGAACTTGCTGTATTTGATTCTCTTTAGACTATAAGTTCCTTTGAGAAAATAACTATCTTATTTTTTTTTTTTACCTGTAGCATCTTATATAATTCATTATTTTTACTTGGCAACTTAGTGTATGTTTAGTGCCACTGGTTGGCCCCTTGATTCACAGGTGTGTCATCCCACACATCATAGCATCAAGAATGGGGGACTTACTTCCCTGGGAAATATGTATGGGAGTGGGTCTGTGCCAGGGCATCTACCATGTTACAGTTGGCACCATCCAGAGGCAGCTGGCCTCATGGAGTGCTACAGTGGCCTTCAAAAGGCCCATGCAAAGCTCTAACTCAGGAAATCCTCTGCATGGTTGGGTTGCCATCTTGCAGCATGCAGTACATACACTAAATTAGAAATGTTTGCATAGTTCCGTAGAAAGAATACACAAGCCTGGGAACCAGGAGGTGGGAACAGAAGTGGCCCTATTTAGTGTAGCATCCAGTATCCACCCAGGGACTTTTTGTTTTCTGTCCCTCCACCTCTGGGCTCTGCAGGGTTAGAAGTCCTTGCTCCCAAAGTGGGCTCAGTCTTACCACAGGGTACAATGTAACAAGATTTGGTTGCCAGTGGGGTACTCTGGACTCCTTGTGTCTAAGACCAGCAGGTGAGGGGAAAAACATACCATCTTGACACAAGTGATTGACCCAGATCAGCTAATGGAGATAGGGTTGTGTTTACACAGTGGCAATGGGTTGACTATGTGTGGAACACAGGCAATCCAGTGATTAGCCTGTTGCCTACTCCCTTCCTCAATTTTAACTGTGAATGGACACATTACAGCCACCTTGGAATGAGAATGATTCCCAGGGGGCCACACTGCTTAGGAATGAGAGTTTGGATTGCTTAATCAGATAAGTTATCAAGACCTGCAGAGGTGGTAGCTGAGGGTGAGAGGGATTTAAAGAAATCCTGGGGCCTGGGTGTGGTGGCTGACCCTTCTAATCCCAGCACTTTGGGAGGCCAAGGTGGGTGGATCACTTGAGGTCAGGAGTTTGAGACCAGTCTGGCCAATATGGTGAAACCCTGTCTCTACTAAAAACACATAAATTAGCCGGGTGTGGTGACACACACCTGTAGTCCAAACTATTCAGGAGGCTGAGGGAGGAGCATTGCTTGAACCCAAGAGGCAGAGGCCGCAGTGAGCTGTGATCGTGCCACTGTACTCCAGCCTGGGTGACAGAGCAAGACTCTGTCTCAATAAATAAATAAGTAAGTAAGGAAGTAAATCGATTGTGAGGGATAGAGATGAGGGGTTGTAACCCTGAGAACAATTACAGTGATTGAGGATGAACTCTGTCTCACTGGTTCTCTTCCAAGTTTCCCCTTAGGAGAGGCCCACAGGAGCATATCTCATTGTGCCTTGGCATCTGCTTTTTGAAGAATCTGAAGGACACACCTGGAGTGGGTCAGAGTCAGGCAGCAACTTGGTATTTCTTCTTTTCAGCATCATCTCTTAGGCTCTTTATCTCTCCAAAGTCGAAGATGTCATTTTGACTACAGAAGGCACTTCCTGAATCTTAAGTGCTCTTTAAGCCCTGAAAGCAAATTTTGTTATTAAATTGCCTCAAACTGAAAGTATTTTCTCTTACTAGCCTGTAATATTTGAGGTAAGGTTAGAAGGAAGAAGGATTTTAGAAAAGAGGCACAATTTTGTATAAGCCTCTGATTCTCAGCCTTAATTTTAACTACCAACGAACCCTCTTATTTCCTCTCCTGGACTTTATGTTGTGAAAGCTTTCATCGGTCAAGACACTTATTTAGATATTTTACCTGTTTATGTTAGCAAGGGACATATATCCCTGCCAAGCAGTGCTTCTGAGCAACATTCGATAACCAGTGCTGAACTCTGTTTACTTGATTGTATATATCAAAATGTAAAGAAACTTAATGTTTTAATTAAGTGTAGATGTATTGCAGGTAAATGCATGATGGCTTTGACTAGCTGTCATATCTCTGTGAATGTCTGCATGCAGATTGAGGACTACCACTCTCAGCTCTGGTGACCTCTCTCCTCTTTGAGCCGCTATTTCTGATACTGGGTTTTGTCCTTGCCAGGCTTGCTTGACCTTTCAGGTAATACTGTTCTATCCATGGTTCCAAGCTTCACTTCCTCTCTCTCCCTGACCGAGCCTATCCTGATGATGGAGGAATTTATACATATTGGGAGTTACTGTGACTCTTCTCCAACCTTCTGTGTCTTAATTTTTATGATTAGTTTTCTCACCTTGTTTCTGAAACATGGACCTCAGAATTGTCCTGCAAATGTACAGATTAGAGTCCAGCTTCTTCCATATATTAGGCCATCTGTAGGACTTTTTCCTGAAGTAACTGACATTCGTACTGCCTGTGTACAGTGTAAGATACTACTGAGTCCAAAACAAAGCTTTAAGATACATTTTTGATAGTGTGAGGTAAGTAGCATGATAAGAAATCAAAAGGTGGATGACAGTTGGTACAGGTACTTTAGACATAGATATGTTGGTGTGCAAGTTAAAGTGCAAAGGAGATGGAGCTCAAGGAAACAAACAAAAAAACCTGGAAATTTAAAACTCTGTTGTTGGCCGAACGCGGTGGCTCACGCTTGTAATCCCAGCACTTTGGGAGGCTGAGGCGGGTGGATCACGAGGTCAGGAGATTGAGACCATCCTGGCTAACACAGTAAAACCCTGTCTCTACTAAAAATACAGAAAATTAGCCGGGTGTGGTGGCATGTGCCTGTAGTCCCAGCTACTTGGGCACCTATAGTTCCAGCTACTCACTTGAACCCGGGAGGCAGAGGTTGCAGTGAGCCGAGATCGCGCCACTGCACTCCAGCTTGGGCAACAGAGCAAGACTCCGTCTCAAAACAAACAAACAAACAAACAAACAAAAAACACCAAACAAAATCAACTCCATTGTTACCTGTATTTGCTCCTAGAAAATTTGCAATGAGAAAAGCAGGACTGACTCCAAAACGCCTTTGAGAATCAAGTGATCCACGTCTCTCCAGAAGTTTCAAAGATTTCTTTCCCTATGGAGATGTTTTCCCCTTGATTTTCATGACCTTGATGGAGATGTGTTCTGATTTGTTGCTGCAGAAATAAGTCATAAATTCTGAAGCAATCTAAAACCTTTGTCTGCTAGTCTCATCATCATATCATTGTTTGGCGGTGACTCTTACCAAGTTTGACTGCTTTGTATACCCTGTGTTTCAAAGAACACCTTTCATCATATTTGTCCCTCCATTTTCATGCCATATTTGCCAGCATTTCTGTGGGTATTAAGATAGTTGACATGCAGCAGGAGTATAACCATATTTCACTACGAAGTTGTAGTCCTGAGAATGATTGCATTATTGGGGCTGAAGATTTCATATTTCAACAAAGCAATGTGATTCTATTTATGTTACTTAGATGTATAGGACTTCCCCAATAATGTTAATCACCTTAGCCATGACTACTACAAAAAGTAAAGTGTTTTTATTTAAAAATGATTACAGATTGTATAATAGACAACATTACTTTGGTATTTGAAAGTTATTGCCTTTCCCCTCCTAATTTTACATATTCTTTGCAAATACAGTCAACCCTTGAACAGTGCAGAGGTTGGGGCAGCAGCCGCTGTGCAGTCGAAAATTCAAGTATAACTTTTGATTCCCTCAAAACTTTACTACTAATAGCTTACTATTGGCCGGAAGCATTACCAGTAATGTAAACAGTGCACACTTACTTTGTATGTTACATGTATTATATACTGTGTTCTTACAATAAAGTAAGTTAAAGAAAATGTTATTAAGAAAATCATAAGGAACAGAAAATATGTTTACTAATCATTAAGTGGAGATGGATCACCACAGAGGTCTTCATCCTTGTCATCTTCCTGTTAAGTAACTGGCTGAGGAGCAGGAAGATGAGGATGGGTAGGTCTTACTGTCTCAGCAGGGGCAAAGGGGAAGGAAAATCCAGAAATAAGTGGACCTGTGCAGTTCAAACCAGCATTGTTCAGGGGTCAACTGAGTTTTTCAAGTGTTTATTTGTGAGTTATGGT